ATAGTCATCAGTCCCTTCTTGGCCCTGGCTTTGTGACACCCAGCCTCTGGTCTCCACTGATCCATGGACCATCCCTTCTCCTTTGTGGGCTTCTCTTCCTTCTCCCACCTTCCACCTGATGATAGCCCTCCAGTGCCTGTCCTAGCCCTCCTCTCATCCCACTGGCCCTGTGCATCCAGCCCTGGCCTCCGTCTCACTGGGGCAGCTGGATTCCCATGCCCCAAACATCACATACAACATGTCCCAAGCTGACTTGCCCTCATTCCCCACCTTGGCCACCTGTGTTTGAATCTTTATGCCTGGCACTCTCATCCACTGAGCCACTCAAGCAACTGGTAGGCCCCTCCTCTCCTGCAGGCAGAACCGCATCCCAATTGGGGGCCACGTCTAGTCAGTTCTGCCTGCCAGTATCTCATACACTCCCCTCCTCTGTCCTGACTCTTGTCTTGCCCTGGCTCAGAGTGTCACCATCCTTCACCTGGAAGCATGGCAACATGCTTCTAACTCACTGGCTTCCCAAATTGACCCTCCAACACTGCCAGGCTGCAGCTAGAGCACTGTCCAACATGCACATCTCATCATCCTCCCCAGCTTGAATTCCTTCCCAGTTCCCTTCGCTGCCTACACACAGGACAGTTGCAAACCCTTCAACAAGGCAGCCATTGGCCCTGCTCCACCTCCACAGCAGCCCTGCCCCATGTTCGGGACCTCACCTGACACGTTCTGCACACTGGTAGTTCCCATGTCAGGGCCTGTGCATATTTTGAGAACTTGGCCTCGTATGGCCTCTCCATCCTCTCTGCCAGGCAAGTACGTCCTCATTGTGCTCAAGTGTTGTATATATATTATCTAAGTTGATCTGCACAACAAACTTTTGTGGTAGGACCTATTCTTGGTCCTATTTTACAGAAAGAAAACAGATTGAGAGGGATTAAGTAACTTGCTATAAAGGTCAAAAATAACCCACAAAAATGTGACAAAGAGCAGGATTTGAACCCAAGCCCAGGCTACTCAAGTCTGTAAACCCAAGTCCATGAACTCAAGTCCATATTCTCAGCCTCCTGCTATCTTGCCTTCTAGGATGGCACCAGGGACATTAATTAAAGCCATAGATTTACTCAAGGCTGGCAACTCCCTGAAGCAAAGGTGATTTCAGGGTTTCTAGTACAGAGAACTGGGCTCCAATCCCAGGCTCGGCGCAGAGTAAACCTCATTAAGTATATGTTGAATGAATGAATGAGTTAGATGGGCAGTCAGGGAGTGGGGAAGAGTGGGTACTGGGTGAGCAAGAGAGAGTTCGGTGTTCATGATGAGGCTGCCATGCCCAGGGCATCTACATGCTGGGTCTGTGGCCCAGGCACAAGGCTGCCCTGGCACAAGGCTGCCCTGTCAGGCTGGGAGTAGCTGGTGATCTCCGAGCCACAGGAGTAAATGCACTGCCTTGGTAAATAAACAAAATGCATCTTTTTGTGTGTTTTCATTTCTTTCCAGGTCACATTGGCCTGCAGATAACAGATGCCTGATCCTTTGAAAGCTCCTTGCTCTAAAACTCATGAAAGGAGGCTGAGGAGAAATGGGAGGCACCTTCCAATGATGGAGGCTGCCCCACGGGAATCATATCCTCCCTCACCCTGCCCCAGGAGCAGAACCGGGGCTGAGAGGACGCACCAGGGCAATCTTCTGGTGGAAAGGCAGGCTGTATAACAACACAAGCTCCCAGCAAGGGAGAGCCTCCCTCAAGAGGCAGTGATTTCCTGTCACAGGCTGACGCTCTGAGGTTCGTGGGGTTCTGACACTGGGGGTACACCCAGTGATCTCTGAGAACGTTCCAAGCCTAAGATTCCATGACTTGAAGCCAGAGTTCAGCTGGAAGTTACACAGTCATGTTTTAGAATTCTTCCTCCTCAAAAACAAAAGCCATCCAAACGAATAAATAGGAACACTGTTCTAGAAGGTGCCCCCAGCTTTATATGTGTGCTGAGCAGGGGCGCAGGCCTAAATGTGAGTATCTGGGGGAGATGAAGACATAGTCATTTGATCCCCGCTAAAACTTAGCAAGGTGTCCAGCAACTGGCATGGATGAGGGAAGTGATGGATGCATCCTTGAAGAAAGCCCCCGACACCACTCCCCGAGGAGCTGGGCTGCACCCTGACCCCACCCTTCTTCACTACCCATGCATAGCAGCGGCCTTTCTCCATGAAAAGTGTTTTCCAAGCCTCCCCTCCAGATAAGGTTAGGGTATCACATCCCTCCACTCTCAAGAAGCAGGTCTTCCAGTCAGCCTTGCAGCCAGACCTAAATCAGAAAAGCATAGAACTTGGGGGGGGGTTAGGGTCCCCAATTCACAGATGAGGAAACTGAGACCCAAAACCACAGAGCTAAGTGATGATCTAACTAGCTTTGGAAACCAGATCCGTAGAATCCAACAAAATTTCATTCAAAACACCTGCTCTTTGTCAGAAACTGTGGGTCCCTGGAAATGCCAGGATGAGTGACAACACTGTCCCTGAGAAAATGACAATACAGTTGGGGGAGGTGGACACAAGGGGGTCTGTGAGGGCAAGCCCTCCCCCCAAACATACGCCAGCTATACCCCTTTTCCATCTGACAGGAAAATGTCTAGCTACGTGCAGAAAGAACTTTACTGGGAAAGTAAGACACAGAGGGAGCCAGGTCCTGGTGACCCACCCATGTGACAGTGGGCCCAGGCAGGATAAGGGGCCAGACTCCAGGAGCTGACAGTGCAGGCAGGGCTGGCCCAGAGCAGTGAGGAGGCCCAGCCACCTGCCAGGACCTGGCGGTCATGACAGTGACCATCTGGTGGGCCCAGCTTGTCCAGGCACAAGGCCCAGCTGGAAGTGGTGGGGCAGAGGTCACAAGAAAGAGACCAAACTTTCCCTTTCATGAAGCTCTGTACTCATGCAGTTACCAACCTGCTTCAGAGTTCAGCAAAGTGGGTGATATAACTCCCCTACTCCAGATGAGGGAACTGAGGCACAAAGAAATTGTTAGTAGCTAAAGGTCATTGAGGACAAAGTGTCTGAGGCAGGATTCAATGCACTCTTCCAATGTGTTTCTCTATATTGTGAGTGTGGGCCAAGACAAGTGACCAAAATAGTATCCACTGCCCATAATTAGGGTGAGGTAGAAGTCAGCCATGAGCTGAGGATGGGACAAAGGTGCCTAGCAAGGGGCTGGCCTGACAGCAATCTGGCCTTGCCACCAGCACTCCCGTCCCCATGGCAGCCAGCCAGGTCAGTTCTGAGAGCTGTGACTTCAGGCTCTGTGCTGGGACAAAGACTCCCGGAGAACCAGAGGGAAGGACGCCTGCCGTCTGATCACAATGGAATGAAAGAAGCTGTCAGGTTCAGTGGAGCTGCAGAGTGGGGTTGGAGCTGGAATCTGCTGTTCTTCCTCATCCCTTCAAGCCTGAACTTTTTGATGATGTGTGGGTTTTTGTTTGTTTGTTTGTTTGGCCTGGTGACACCTTCTGCACAGGTCAGGGTGATACACAGCAATAGAGAATCCTCCCAGATGAGGACGTGGGGCTCTGGGGGGATTGGCTCCACAGCTGGTTTTGGGCGGCGTGGAACCTGGCCTGGTTCCCACACTATGACTCCCTTCTATGCTGGTTCTTGCCTGCCCCTCTCACCTGTACTCCTGGCTCCTTTCTGGGGTTCACAGGACAGTGGTCCAGATTAAAGGTTACCAGGTTCTCCCAGTTCAGATTTCATGAAGGAAGCTGCTTGGTGACGTCTGGGACTCTCAGCCCTGAGCAACCGTGACCCTCACAGACCACAGTGGCCCAGCCTTCTATATTGGTGCCCTCTGGTCATCACACACTGGAGGCCTTCCAAGGTGGACAGGAGTCAAGGCTTCACCCTCTAGGCAATTGCAGGAGCCCCTGACACCAAACAGGAAGGAGCCCACTCTGCAGGAGGCCGCTCCCACTGCATCTGTCGGTGCAGTCACTCCCCCCCCCCCAAAATGCTGTGACACAAAGGACCAGCTTTCATGGCATTTTAAGCTTACAGAGCACCCCCATATTCTCCTCATTCCATCTGCACAGCCATGGAACAAAAACCCCTCATGTTCCAGGTAAAGAAAGGGTGACACGTTCGGCCTACAAAGGTCACAGTGCTGGCCAAAGACACGACATGAGAGAAGGTCATGGCCGAGGCTTGACCCCGGCTCCTCTGACTCTGAGTTCTGGTCTTTGTCATTCTCTTGCTTGCTGCCCAGATGTGAATCTATCTGTGTTCCTCCAGCCAAGGCCCGGGACTATCTCCAGATTCACATGCATGTGAGAAAAAACATCTGGATGTTTCAGAACTGCCCAGGTCCCGGCTAAGCAGGTCAACCTGCGGGATGGGCGATGGGGACACCTGGGATTTTGCGCTCCCTCCTGCCTGCCCTGCCCAGCCTGGTCCTGCCCTGTGGGCGGTCAAGCTGGAAGTGTACCCCAGAGGCCCAGCCAGCATTTTTATGGCTGCCAGTCACTCCTGGGGCCCCTGGACCACCACAGACTTCTACTCTATCTAGAAAATGGTTCTTCCCAGCCTGGCAAGGTCCAGCGGCATTTCTACGCTATGTGGAAATACAGGCTCTGGCATTTTGTGGCGCTGGAGTGTGTGTGTGTGTGGTATGTAATGTGTGTAGGGGGCAGGTCTGCCTCATGGGGGTACTCAGTGGCTCAAGTTCAGAAAGGATCCAGCAAGAGATCAAAAAGACAAAACAACCCCTAACGGCTCTCACAGCACACGGCGCTAAACGAGGCGCCTGAGCAGGCCACCTCCCAAATCATGAAGCCATGTTTGCCTCTGGGGTCCCCAAATAAAGATAATGTCCCAGTTATTCCAGTCACAGACAGCCTCACAATTTCCTCTCCCAAGGGTTCAAACTAAAGAGAGGAGCCAAGACCTGGGTGCAGACGGGGGCTCAGGCTACAGCACGGCAGAGGGAACAGACACCACACAGTGGTGGAGGCCGGGACACCTACCTGGACTTCACGTGTGTGATAGGCGATGATCAAACCCAAAAGGATGATGGTGGACAGACTGATAAGGCATTTCAGGGCCAACGAAAACATGGAATCCTGCAGGAGAAACGGAAAGAGAGGATTAGGGAGGGCCAGACTGGAGCATCTCATTTAACTCTGATCATGTAAAATGGGAGGTGTGGGTGGGGAGCAAAGGCAAGAACTGTCACCAGCCCTTTCAGGAGCAAGGTACAGCCCAAAGGTAGCCTGAGCCACAAACCAGCCTTAAGCTGGATCCTGGGCCAGCTCAGTCCCAGCAGCCGCCCCCAGGCCTCTGTTTTTTAAGGTTAAATCATATTTGCATTCCTGGGATGAACCCTACTTGGGCATGATGTATAATGTTTTTTATGCAAGGCTAGATTCGATTTGCTGATGTGTTATTTAGAATTTTTGCCTCCATGCTCATAAGTCATATGAACCTAATTTTTTTTTGTGCCACGATTATGTGCTCTGGGCAGCAATATTGTACCAGCTTGAGCCTCTCTTTTCTCTTAACAAACCTGAACCAGGGGAAACCTGAGATCTTTGCAGAATGAATTAGAATGTCCCAGCACCTACTCTCTCCTCCCGGCTTATGCCAAGGGCACAGAGGAGGCAAGAACAGCAGAGGAGCTACTGGAAAGAGAAGTGGACCAAGCACGGGAGCAGAGAGCAGTGCTGGGCAGGAAAAGAGTCCTGCCAAGGACTGGGAGGTGGTGGGCCACACGGCAGAGACCCACATGGTCACCAGCATGGACCCTGGGGCCAGCTCCTGGGGCCACACCCTGATACAGCCACTCACTAGCTACCTGACCTTCCACTGCTTACACCACCTCTCTAGGCTGTGGCCTCGTCTATCAGGTGGGGGTAAGCAACATCAGTACCTACCTCATGGAGCTGTTGTGAAAATTAAAGGAATTAGTGCATGCAAAGTGTTGAGACCAGCGCCTGGCCACATGAGGTTGGCCTTTCTTATCAGTTATTTTGCACCCTCTACAAATCAGGCCATCTGGCTTGGAGACTTGATACCCTGGAAGTAGAAATGGCTCCCAACCCCAAAGGAAGATGGGAACACAGCCCTGAGCATCAGTTGCTATCTGTGTATCCTGAGACACACGGCACATGAGAAGTTGACCCTGGGCCCCCAGGGCTGGCAGTCAGAGCAAAGCCTGAGTTCTATAGAGTTGACAAGGTGCTTTGTTCTCATCCATCAACACATCAGACATGGGCCTCTATCCCAACTTCACAGATGTTACAGTGGAGGATCAGAGGGGTGGGTGGCCTGTGCCAGAGTTCAAAACCAAGGCCTCTGACTCCTGTCCCTCAGGTCCACTCTCCAAAGAGAAAAGAGTAGAAACAGGAGAAGCATCCACTTATACAGACCCACATGACAGCTTAAGACCACGACAGAAGGGTCTCCAAAGGCAGGATGCAACTGACTGCCAAGTGACACCTACAGCAGAGCTGGGGGTTCAAAGAGAGGGAGACACCACTGTCAAGAAAACTTTCAGAGGCAGTAAGAGGCAACCAAGATCTGGGGGTGAGGGGTGGTGTCCAACATGGCAGCTTGGGGTAAATGGGGGACTTGAACCTGAACCTAAACTTCAAGATGCCCAGATCCATAGTCTCACCTGCCCTCTGCCGGCTGAGACAAACAGTGTCTCCCTGGCATCTCTCTCATTTATATGATGGAGTTATGGGGCCCACTTTGTGTTGACACAAGCTGGTGCTGGGACCCAGGGGAGAACTAATAAAGGACTCACTGACTCTTTCTTTCCTTCATAACTACTCAGCTACAACGTGCTAGGCGCTGCAGGCTACTCACAGAAGGCTCCTGCCCACCACGGCTTCCTGGCTTAGCCACAAACTCTCACTTTCTACACTTCTACACTGCGTGGAGTCATCTACCCAGATGAGGCTCTAAACTTAAGACTGTTTTCTTTTTGCTTCTTGCACCATTCTATGGTTTCATGTAGAGCAGCACACAGGTATGGCAGTGCCTAAGGGGACCTCAGCTGTGCCCCTCCTACTGTGCACACAAAGAAAACAGAACGCAGCCCCATCCTTCAGAAGGCACTACTACATGGTGCCCAAGCAAGCACCACCTAATCAGAGACTTAGACAAAGCTAAAAAGAGCAGGGAATCCAGGAGCCTCAGGCAGTTTTGGGATAAGACAAACCTTCCTCCAGAATCTAGTGAGGACAGCTCACAATGTTTTTGAGCCAGAAATGACCATAACTTTCTTCTCAAAGGGGTCTGAAGGCATCTGAGGAGCATCAAGTCTCCCCAGGGAAGGGTTTGAGATCAGCTGCACATTTCAACCTCTAATTTGTTTCCTTTTGGCAGAAATTAACTGAAATCAGAATCCAAGTCTATTTCCATCATTTTTAGAGGAAGAGGTGAAGGGAAAGGAGCCAGATGCTGTCTCCTCTCCTTTGAGCCTCATCCTTTTGTTCTAAAACTCAAAGTCTTTACGTAAGAGGTGACTCCCACCTGCTTCTTGGTTTGAGCCAGTGCAACCTCTCTGGCCAGCTCCAGCCCTATGGGGAGATGAATCAAATGCACTGAATCAAATGCACTGGATGCTGGTTACCTTCCAGATTTCCTTACGTTCAGTATCACATGTCAATAAAAAAAGAAACCATCAGCCATTTTTAATAGTTATAAAACATGTCAAAGAAGTCTGGCTGGACTAGAAATGTTTATTATTTGTTAAAATGTTGAATTATCATATTTTCTTTGATGCCTAAACTCCAGGCAAATTGAAATTGGTCTGGTTCTTTGGGTGATGCCAATGACACCAAGCTGACTGATCAGCTCCCATACAGCACATGGTCAGGGCACCCCCATACCTTCTCTGCCCCTACCCACCCCCATCTGAGGGCCAAAAGGGACTCAGGGCTGGGAGGGGTTCCTGTGATCAACTGGTCAACCCTTCTCCCCTCAATTCAGAACTTCTCAATAATAATTATCCTCAGTCCACAGAAATGCTTATGAATAATATCCCAGCAGAAGAGAGTCACTTTTTAAAATCATTTATTCCTCAATGTCAAATAAAAATTAGAGTAGTTAAGTAAATTCCAGAATAGCCGATGATAGAACATGAAGCAATGGCTAAAAACCATTTCTGTGGAGAACATCTGAAGACATATAAGGGAAGGCTCGTGATATGACAGAAAGTGAAAAACCCAAATTTCAAATCTGTATATGAAGTATATTTCCAATTATTTTTATTTTTTTACTTTTTTAATGTTAAAAGAAACACTATGAAAATACATTAAATACCTTGAAATATGAGAGCTTTTTTCTTATTGTTGTTTTCCCTTTTTTTAACCCACATTCTACAATGAGACTATACCATTTTCATCATCAGAAAAGTTTCTGCTGTTTCTTAAAAATCTGAGCCCTGGACTGCAAGAAGGAGACGTCCAGGCAGAAGGGTGGCTTGTCCTGGTGACCCGGCCTCAGGTGGCTGTAAGGGAACCCTTGAGGTGTCTCACCCATTCCTTCAAGGGGGATGAAGGACCCGAGTCTCCTAAACACTAGTCGTTTACTGGATGCCCATTTCCTAGAACCACGCTGTACGTGTCACTCACCTACCAGCTAGGGGCTGGAGCCACATCCAACCCCGGGGCAGGGCAGAGAGCCCCCACTCAGGTGACATTATTGCCCTTCATTCCACTCACAGTCTGCCTGAGTCCAGGGAACAGGACTTCTACGATATTACCTCTGATACCCTGAGTACACAAGGAGCATAACATGTCCTTCTTGAGATTACTTAAGCATAGCACTTTTATTTTTACCTAACAGGTATCAATATCAACTCTCTACCATGTCTCACATGAGACCTTCTACACCATTTACCTCATCCTCACCCTACATAGAAGGTCGTAAGTTCTCCATTTTACTGATAAACTGAGGATCAGAGAGACGATGCGATTTTTCCAGAGTCATAACTTGCCATATGCCAGATTTTTCCATATACCATGTTCCACCCACCCCACCTCCACCCCCATGCCTATGTAATGAACTAGTTATGTAGTTATGTGAGATAGTGACTTCCCGTCTTCTTAGCACAGACAGGCTCCCGCCATCAGGGGCGCACAGAAGAGATTGCAGCAGAGTGGGAGATGAACCTCATTCCTGCAAGACACCCCATCCCTGTGGTCTCCGTTAGGTCCAGCCCTTCCCAGATCTGCAATTTCTCATTGATGACAATCTGTGATGAAGCACCACTGTGAGCTCCTATCACTCAAGGTGAGTGTCATCAAGCCCCTTCCACAGAGGAAACTGAGCAGCTGACAAGTTATATAACATGTCCAAGGACATGGCCAACAAATGACAAAGTAAGGATGTGACGAACCAAGATTTGCACCAGATGTGTCTGCCCCCAGGTTCCATGCTCTCCTCAGGCGCCAGCACCCCTGCGCTGCCCTTCATGCCTTGCTGGCCTCCAATTTCTGCAGTGAGGTGTCTTAGAACTGCTCCCGCTTGCCTCCCCTGAGGCTGTGCAGTGTGATGGAGTATGTTCCCTGGCTTCAGAGCCAGCCGTATAAATTGCTCTCCTGGCCTGCCTTGTAGCTTCCAGAATTGTAATGATTATGGTAGATCTTCCCAGAGACTTTAAAGTTCTGAATGTGTTTCATTGTTCGGAACATTTGAAAATAACAGAAAACTATGCTTGAAGGTAGCGTCCTGGAGGGACACTGAACCAAAGTGAAGTATTAGCTGAAACATGGAAAGGTGTGCAGTCACCTTCCCAAACAAGCTGCCCCACAAAAGTGTGTGCGCCCATGTGTGCCTGTTCACATATGTGAACTATTCATTAATTTTGTCACTGACTGGAACCCCCAAAGGGAAAGAAGTGGCCCATCGAAGGTCTGCATTTACTGAATTAAGACCCTTTCTGACATCACTGGTTTGTGCATTTGATTTGGGAAATAATTGATTTAGATCTCTTTTCTGTTTAGTAAAGTCAACTTTTCCTTCAATTTCATGGAGAGCCTCCAAATGGATTGGTATTCAGCATCAACTTAATCCTGTGGCTCTGTAATGGTTGTCCTAATTAGACACTCTT